TCCATTTTGAGTTGATTTTTGTATATGGTGTAAGGGTGTGTTCTAGCTTCATTGTTTTACATGCTGCTGTCTACCAGAGTTCTTATTTGTATTTAGTTTGAGATCTTAGTGGGTTCTTGGACCAGATTTAATCACTTCATTATCTGGATCCCCCAGATCCATTTTTATTGTCCTTAGGTTTCAACCGCATCATATTGTCAATGACCTGCCATGTGTCTATCATTTTTATTAAATTCTAGACATTGGGTAGAAAACAGAGAAAATTTGAGGCCTAGAGTGAGGTTAACTTGCTGCAGAGAAGATGGGCATTACAGCTGGCAGGTGATCAGGGAGCCAGCAGTGCTGCATCCTGTCAACCCAGTTAGTTACCAGTTACCAACTGAGATCAGTCAGTGTAGTCAGCCCTCTTGAGGCCAGTGTGTCTCCTGTCCACCTTTATTCCTGGCATGTAACTCTCATGGATCCCAGCTAAGGCCTGTGGGTCTCTCTAGGGATCACCTGCACTGATGGATCGTGAGCTCCAGCTGTCTGACTGCGGTGCCCGTTGCGGGGGGGTAGGGAGTGGGTGGGGCACAAGCTGCTGGGCTGCTCGGCATCTCAGTAGTTTCCTCTGCAGTTAACGGATGACCCTTGGGGAAGGTGGACCCAGTCCTGGGCTTCCTTCTTCTCCATCTTGGCCTCATTTTCCTTCCTGGCTTGTTAGAAATTTGGTAATTGTGGAGGTCATAATTTGTCCAGAGCTTTCTGTCATTCTCAGGGGGAGGTCATGGACTTCACACCCATTAACCCACATTCAAAAACAAACATTTTCTTATATTTCCTAAAGAATCAGGTTTTCCCCCAAGCTTCAACTGAAATCAGGGCTCTCCGTGGGAGAAATCAAATAAGTCATGAATGCTTGCTTCATCCTAATGTGTTTGGGTGTGATGACTTGGTCAGGCCCTGTTTCCCACATTGGAACACAGTGAGCTCACGCTGTCCCAGTCACAGAAGGCTGGGCCTGGGAGGGCACACAGTGCATCTCACATGGGCTTTTCATGTGTGTTTACTGTATGTCCAAATGAACAGGGATGGAGACGCTGAAGAGAAGCCCAAATACCAAACACTTGCCAGAAGCCTGAGTTTAATTTTTGATCTCTGTTAGTGGGGGCCTTTAATTCCTTCCTCTGTATTTGTCAGTCTGTGCATTTATGGGGAAGGGTGAAAGGAACATTGAATTCTTCCCTTCCAATTTCTGGGATGGAAAACTGGCAGAATTTCAGAGTGTCTTTCCCCTCTCAGGAAGCTGGACATGAAAAGATGTGAGCTGGTGGAAAAGAAGCAGCTATTAGCAGTAGAAGAGAAGTTGAAATTGGCTGAGGAAGAGACACAAAAGTACAAGTGAGTTCAGCTCCTGAACACCTGTGGCTCAGAAAACCCCTGATGGATTTTTAAAAAACTTTTCTCAAACGTTTAGACACAATATCATACACAGACCAAAACAAATGTTCAGAAGTCATTTGTATAGATACTTCACACAGGAACAAAATGTTAAATTTTACATGTTAAGTTAAAGTTTTAACTTGAAAAAGTATTAAGTTACTAAGAATTCCCTCATCCCCAGTGCTGGCCAGACTGTGTGGAAAGAAGGTTCACGGGGATGTTTCTGAAGGTGCCATAAATTATTATCAACCTTAGGAAAGCAATTTGGTGTAACATCAGTCACATCAATACGTATGACCGTGCCCCTGGAGAGACCCACTTGTTGTGAGCCTGAGAAATAGGATAAGGATGTAAGGAAAAGACGAATCAAACTTGATGGTGAAAGAGACTCAATACAGGACAAATTAGGGAAACGCTGAGGATGGGAAAGGAAATTATGTCAGGCAGAACCTGGCAGGCATTAAATAATAATGAAGGAAGGAATTAATGCAGCAATAGCTTTGAACCTACTGTACATTTATGGTCATATGGAATGTGTCTTGTACGATTAGACAATGTGTATAAGTGTGTAGTTGGATAATGTGGACTTGGCCAGGTTATTTAAAATCATACCCAGCATTGTGTTTTATCTGATGAAATAATCTGTAACTCAGGAGAAGACTTGAAGAATGCCAAAGGCAAATGCAGGAAGCAGAGATCACCTGGAGACACCAGGTAACCTGCCTTCCTCCTGACACACTGAGTCCTTAGCACATGATGCAGACAGTTATTGTTTTCCTCAGAATCCCTAGCCATGGGGTGTTTCTTGATGTGTTGAATTTTTCAGATCGCTCTTGCTGAGAAGAAGGCCCAAGACAACTGGGTAAGAATTTGTTTCCTTCCTTCCCTTTGTGCACAGTTGGCCACAACTGAGCATCGATGTGTTTTTCTCCCACAGCTCAGGGCTCAGGAGTTGGAGAGGGAAAATGCTGAGATGAGAAGGGAAGTTGCCTACCTGAAACAAAGGTACAGAATTTTGACACATTTTTAAGGGTGTTTTGAGATTTTTAAGGATTGGTTGTTTCGTGTCTAGTAGAGGAGTTGGTGATGTAATTCTTACTGAAGCCATTCTTTCTCTATCTTTAAGACTGGAAGCAATCTCCAGACAGAGGCAGGCAGAGGAATACATGAGGCAGGAGGCCATCCTAGGAGGACCATACGGGCTGCACCCTCCATTGACATGTAAGGAGCACACTGTGAAGTGCAGCAGCTTCATTTCTGCTGCAAAAGCCGCCCAATGGGCTTCTTGTCCCCGTGGGTAATTGTTAGGTTTCCTGGACACCGTACCATACACTCACTGCAGAGAACAGGTTCTCAGTTGGTTGACAAGATGCTGTTTTCTTCACATGCCGCCAGCCAGCAGGGCTCTGTCTCCTGTGAACGGTGGAGCTCATGCCCCTCCAGGGACTGTGGGCTGCCCTGCAGCCTCTTGGTTGGTTGATTTGGTTGGTTGCTGTGTACTAGAAGACATGAGCGTCAGAACCCTCTTCCCATCTGGAGACAATGTTGAAGGCTGAATTATCCTTTTATTTCAGAAAAATAACACGCACAACATTTTAGAATGAAGGCAGTATGTCCTGATGAGAAAAAAAGTTTCTTCATTTGCCTTGAATATTCTATTCAAGATCTGCTTTAAGACAGCAGGCATCTCTTCACTAATTTTGCAGGTCCTTTCATTCTCATAAAAAATGTTGCACAGTGATCTAGAGTAGCCAGTTAGTAAGTAATATTACTACGTAATCTCACTCTTCTAGGGTTGTACATGTAACCCTAAAATCTTCCAACAGAGTCTCCATAGAATTCACCAGTCTTTTGCCGATTATTACAGTATTAGTCTTTCTAAGGCTGCTTCTTTCATAAATATTTATGTGACACCTGGTCACTTATACAAGACATGTTCTGTCAGACAGAAGGATTTCAACAGTTTACCAACAGGCTGAGGAGAAATAGGTGGAGCTCATGGTCAGGGCTTGTTGATATTCTTCCTATGAAAGACTCTCCTTATTTTAATTTTTAACCTATGTAGAAACTGTGGTTTCACCTGAAGTGTATTGTGAGTCCCCTGTGTTAGTGTTGATTTCCAGGGATTTGAGCCCTGAGCTTCCATCCAGGTTGATTAGTTATGAAAACACCTGAACCAGGGCTCTGTGGTGTCCTCCTCAAGGGTCAGGGGTCCAGTCCCCCTTCGCCCTCGGGGTCACCTGAGACATGAGGGAGACCTGCGGCCTCTGTGAAGAGACCGGGGAGTGGGCGGGGGTGTGAGCTCCTGGAGGAAGGCATGAGGGTTTCTGCTTCCTCCACACAGTCTGTCAGAGAGAACAAAACTTCAACACTGCTCGGCTGTGATCAGACTCAGGACCTGGTGCCGCCCCTGTGAGGAACGGCAGCTCCTTCCCTACTGAGGAGGCCGAGGAGCCCCGGCTAAATGATCTTTTTCCAGCTGTGTTCCAGGGGTCATTTTGTGCTGGAGCTACCTCTGGAAATACCTGGTTTCTTTTCAACAACCCTCTCCTGGCCTTGCCTCCCGATTGTTCTGTGATGTGTCCACCGCATCGTGACTTTTCAATTCAAACTCTTCCCCAGGAGCCGGGGGCCCCCCCGCTTCAGGCCGTTGCCTCTGGTGGTGCCTACAAAAGCCATGAGGGAGGGCTTAGAGGCTGAGGACCGCAGACTCTGATAGTGTGTTTCTCAAAATAGCGTGAGGAGGGTGAGCCCTCGCCCCACACTGACTCCTCCTGGCGCAGCTGACTCCTTCCTGGCCCCCTTCACGTGGGCTTGCTCCTGGGTCACAGGCTATTATCATCATCATTATTTTACTCCTTTCCTGGTTCAGGTCAGGTGATTCTTCTGGTTTAGAATGTCCATTCTAATTTCCGTAACTGAAAAATGAGAAAAGCCCTCCCTCCAACTTTATGCCGTGTGCTTTGTGCAACTTCGAATCTTCCTGGATGTAGTAAATGTCACAGCCCACCACTGTCTTTTCTCTGTAGGTAAATGTGTCTTCCATGCTCCCTCCAGTTGTACTCTTGGTAGAAAAGCCTGAATCTCAGAGATGTTGTATTTGTGGTAGGGAATATATGCTGGAAGTGAAACAGCCCTCAGTGAAAATGCCTAACTCCCTGCAGGGCGGATTCCCACCACAGTCCTCACGTTGTGTTCCCGTAAGCAGGGTCGGTGCTGCCCTGGAAGCCGTCAGAGATGCTCCTTTATCTCATCACACATCGTGGGATTTTACACATGAGCTAAAATCACTTTTGTATTAGTGGTGGAATTTAGACTTCCCACTTTGCTTTTCTGTAGGACAAATTTAGTCTGTGTTTCCTAGTGAACTTAAAATTCAGACTTACCTGTGAATAAAGATGAATGTAGCGGAGCCTGACTACCTTCTGAGGACAGCATCGTCCCCTCAGAAGCACTTTGCCAGCTCCCCCGCAGGACTCCAGGGTGCCCAGCTCCCCAGAGCTCTTTGCACCCAGGGGCAGCCCCTCCAGGGAGGAGAAGAGCCCTTTGTCAGGAGGGAAGCAGAGGAGGGCCGATCAGGGTCCTGCAGGCAGAGCGAGCACCCAGGTGCGGCTCTGATTCCGCGTGTAGAGCACGGGGCTCTTCACGCCCTTTCCTTCTCTGTGTTCTTAGTCCACGAAGAGCAAGCTTCCATGGAGCTGGGGAAGGTGGCGGGGAGGGGGTCCTGCACAGAGAGGCCACCTGTCGGGAAGGTGCTACTGTGTTAGTTTGCTGGAACCTCTGTTCATCCTCCTCTAGGGCAGGACCCTTGCCTTCCTCCACTTACAGACACAGGCGGTGATGTGTGGTGACAGTGTTTTATCCCCGGGGCCTCCTGTGCAGCCCAGGCTGCAGGCAGGCCCCAGAGGGGTGGGCGGAGTGTGTGGGACGGTGCTGCTCCCTGGGAACCTGGTGGAGGGGACGGTGCCAGGTGCTGACAACTGCTGCGTGGGGTTTCAGCTTTGGTTGATGTTGGTGCTTTGTCTGTCATCCGACACACCTCTCCCTTCTGTTCTGCGGATCAATATGTATGCAACTGGGGCCTCAGCAACAGCCACAGCCACCAGTTTCTCTACTTGGTAACATGAAAGCACATTCCTCTGTTCCCTTGTTGAGTTGTTGCAGAAGAAGGGGAGGTGTCACTCCAGGGCTTTGCAATGCCGGGGAAAACCTGACTGAGGACATTGTAACATTCCTCTAGTTTCTTAGCACACACATTTGATGGACTGTGTCATTTCCCCATCCTAATCTGGAAAGCAGGTGTCTCATGTAGGGAAAAAAAATGGTCTTCTGACAGAAGGCAGAAATATCAGTTCTGTACATGTGCCTTCAATATAGACCACGTTCTGGGATCTGGGAGGTATGAAGCACACCCCGAACTTCAAGGGCTTAAGATGTTCCTTCAAGGGATGGGGGTGAGAGAAAGGGAGACAGAGACACTCATAACAGACAGCTTGTCATCACCATAACAGACATGCCAGTACAGGGCCCCGGAGCACAAAAGTGGGACACGTGAGCCACCCAGGAGTATACAGGAGGGTGTGGAGGGGAAGGAAGAAATTGAGGGGGTGCCCAGTGGGGGGTTGTTGGATTCACGTAGATGGAGTGGGAAGGCCATTCCCGGCAGGACGGGCAGTTGGGGTGGGACGTGTGAAGGCAGCATGAGGGCCTCGCAGAGCCATGTGTGTGCTCAGGGGACTCAGTGTTTCCGTGCAGGGATCCCCATCAGAACCCACCGCTGCCAGAAATCCCTTGGTTCACAGTGTCATATAAAGATGATTGTTTCTCTTAGATTTCTGAAAGTTCTGGATCTGGGTGAAAGAAAGCTCTGGATATCAGAGAAACTGAAACTTAACTTGGTTTACTCAGGATATTTTGTGTGGCTGAAGGTTATTTTTGCCCCAGGGATTTGAAAAGTGCAGGCAGGATTTAGATCAGCTGAGCAGCTGCCTCGGTCTTCAGCATGAGGCAGGTTCTTTGGGGGAAGTCAGGGGTGATCAGGGGACCCCCCTGCAGGACCCGTCTCCCCGCACCCCTGCTCCCTCTAGTCACCACCCCGACTGTCAGCTTGGCGTCTGCCACATTTATGTCACAATATCTGATTTCTGATTCTTTGCTTGAATTCCTACAGTTCAGCCCCTAACACCAAGACTCAGTGGGGCTTCCACAGAGTCTCGGCTTTGTTGTCCGTGAACCAAGGGTAATATTGGTTTCTGATGTCATTGTGAGGAAGATCGGGTCAAGCACACATATTATTTTGCAGAATGACTGGGACATATTTCTCACTCAGCATTCTCATAGTTTAAAAGAAAACGTCTGCACACAGAATCATCAAACGATATCCCGGGAAGTACATCAATTTAAAATAAAGATAAAAAAGCTCAGGCCCAGAGTTTACCGTTCTCTGCTTTAAAGATAAGGCCAAGAGTCCCTTTCTTCTATTAAAACTCACGCCCTACTAGTTAAAGAAGGAAATATAAGAATGAGAATGTGCACATTCTGAGATCTGTGTCTGAGATGTGAAAACAATTATTTTCATTATATATAGACACGGAGATGCACACATGAACTACAGTGTCCATCGGAGGCCATACGTACATTTGAGAAGACAAAATTGGAAAAAAAGAAGATCCCATTAAAATAAATAAAACTCTCTTTGTCTTCCAGCACAGTCAGTATGAAATTTGAAGAGGACCCTGAGCTGCAGCAGTGATATATTTAGAGAAGATGTCCGAGGTTCATTATGGCCCGAATGTCTCCTTGCTCCATCCTGCCCCCTCTGCCGTTGTCTCTCCTATTGTCACCCCTAATGAACCTGTCACAGGTCTCTCTCTGTGTCAGTGTCTGCATCCTGGAGTACCAGTGGTCACACCCTCTCGAGGGCTCACAGTATGATTCATGGGCACACAATTCACAAACCAGCCGAAGCTAGGGTGATGGGGCAGATAGATGCAAGGTTACCCCTTTGGGGCAGCAGTGACTGCAGGGGGGCCCAGGAGATCCTTCTGAGGCGGTGGACACAGCCTATGTCTAGATCCACTGATGGTTGTTTCTTCAGTCTATAAACACTCACTGGGCATGTGAGGCCTGTCGGTCACAGGGGCGTCTGGTCATGAGATAGATGACCAGAATGCAGTGGCCATGTCTCATGGTGAGGAATGGACAAGGTGCAGGAGTGGCCGCGGGAGTCCACGAGAGGGCCCCGCACTAACCCAGTCTTGTGCCCCTGCCCCACGTGTCAGCTGCCCCAGCAGCCCCATTTCCAGGCAGACTCTGAGGGGGACTGAAGGCAGCGGTTTTCATAGTAAGTCCCGTGAGCTGCCTTAATCCTGTGACAACTTCCTTATTGTGAAATGAGCAAGGCAGGGGTCAGTGGTTGGGACACCACCACTGCCAAGGAGAAGGTGTTGGGTAGAAAAATCTGGCTCCCTTCTGGCCTCCCACACCACTCCCTTGTGCCCCAGCTGCCCCTGGAGCTGTGGGGCCCTCCCTCCTTCCAGCTGGGGGAGGCAGCCAGCCCTGCAGCAGCGCTGTGGTCCAGGCTGGGCCACCAATAGGTCAAGGTGGGACACTGCTGCCCAGGAAGAGGGGAACAGCAGCGCAGCAGTAAATGCCAGCATGAGTAGCCTCTGTAACCAGATCCTCCACTGTGAGCAGGGCCGGGGCCACAACGCGGCAGTGCAGGCAGTGCAGGTGGGAGGGCCGGGAGAGGTGGGGCCCTGTGGTCCTGGACAGGGCTGGACCGGAGCCCAGGGCTTGAGGGCCTGGTGGGGGAGAGAGAGAAAGAGACAGGCAGGGAGAGAGACAGTGCATGAGTGACTGAGAGGGAGAGGTGGGGGTCAAATCCCAGAGAGTGACAGGAGGTGACAGAGGGGGACTGGGTAGGGAGAAGCAGAGACAAGATGAGGCAAGGAAAGAGGGAGCCAGCCCAGGCTGCATGGTGGGGATGAAAGGCCAGGGTGGAGCGACTCTGGGAAGGGGGCTTGGCCCAACCTTCACCAAGTCCCACAGCTGCCACTATCAGGGCCCCAGGGACCAGCAGCCCAGCCTGACAGGCACCATCAGCCCTCAGGACGGGGCTGAGAGCCGCGCCCACTGGCCACTTCCCAGGTAAGGAGGACCAGGAGGGCTCCCCCCAGCACCACAGCGGCACCATCTGTAGCTTCAAAAAGACCCTGTGAGCAGACACCATCCTGTCCCCATTTCACAGAAGGGAAACTGAGGTTCAGCTTGCCAGCTGACTTGGCCCTGTCTGCAGGGCTATTCAATTTCCTGATGCTTCTTTCACAGTCAGGCCGGTGCCCCTGTCCTGAGAAGGGAGCCTGTGACAGGCCCGCAGGCCTGGGTCCCACCTGACTGCTCTCCTGTGCTGGGTGACCTGGGTGGGTCTCTTCCCCTCCATGGGCCTCTACTGTATGACCGACAGACCTTCTCCCCAGCTTTCAGGGAAGTGGGACCCCAGCAGGCCCACCGCTCCTGGCCTCCCAGGCCCCTGGGCAGGCATGGGGTGAGCTCTGGCTCTCGTGGGAACTTCTCTATGTGTGGGGTGATGGACCACGTACGCTTATCATTTTTTATGGGGTCACATCCTGCTATTTCCATCTAGAATGGGACTATCTACCACGGAGCCTGAAACTTGATTTTCCAGATTTTTCTAAATTGGCCCTTGTACAAAAGAGCCGCTCCCCTGGCCAGGATGACAAACCCAGTCCTGGTGAGGAGGCCTTGGCCCTTCCTACTCCCCTCACCTCGCTGCTGCTGGTCACCCCCAAACTCCAGAGACATGCCCACCCCCTGGAATTCCCTGCTCCCCCTCCCCATGCCAAGCCCAGCCCCTCTCTCCCCACCTTGGAGGCCCCTCCTCCTGAGGGAAATTGTGGGCTCTTAGGGTCAGGACTCCAAGCCCTGTATCACAGCAGGGGGCACCCCAGCTGAGTCATGAGAGGCCTGGAGGCAAGGGTGGGGCTCTGAGCCCCAAGATGGGCTATGTATCCTTCATCAGGTCACAGCCTCTCAGCCCAGCATCATAGCCTCGCATAGCCCTCTGGACCCACGTGGCCGGGATGTCACTCACTCACACACTCAGGCTCCAGCCCCTCTCCCCACCCCCATGCAGGCACTTGCAAGGCACACATGCACATACAGGGACATGTACACACATATGCACGGGGATACACACAGACACTCATACACACACAAGGACACAAACACAGGCTCACCTGCCCAGCTGCCAGGATGCCACTTTTTCATTATCTTACATGTCACTGCTGCAATAAAATTCTTTAATTAATACATGAATATTCAAATGTAAATTCTGGAGAAGGTGTGGAGAAAAGGAACCCTTGTACACTGCTGGTGGGAATGTAGTTTGGTGCAGCCATTATGGAAAACGACACAGATTCCTCAAAAAACTAAAAACAGGCTTACCATATGATCCAACAATCCCACTCCAGGGCATATATCCAGAGGGAACCTTAATTCAAAAAGATACATGCACCCCAATGTTCATAGCAGCACTATTTACAATAGCCAAGACATGGAAACAGCCTAAATGTGCATCGACAGATGACTGGATAAAGCAGCTGTGGTATATTTATACAATGGAATACTACTCAGCCATAAAAAATGATGAAATAATACCATTTGCAGCAACATAGATGGCCCTGGACAATGTCATTCTAAGTCAAGTAAGTCAGAAGGAGAAAGTAAAATACCATATGATATCACTCATATGTGGAATGTAAAAGGAAAAAAGACAAATGAACTTAACGTGCAAAACAGAAACAGACTCACAGACATAGAAAAGAAACTTATGGTTACCACTGGGGAAGTGGGTGGAAAGGGATAAATTGGGAGTTTGAGATTTGCAGATACTGACTGGTATATGTAAAATAGAAAATAAGTTTATACCGTATAGCACAGGGAACTATATTCAATATCTTGTAGCTTATGGTGAAAGGAATATGAAAATGAATATATGTATACTTATGTATGACTGAATCACTATGCCATACACCAGAAATTGACACAACAATGTGAACTGACTATACTTCAATTTAAAAAAAGTGAATATTTAAAGCAACCCTTGAGAGAAATGGCTCCATCTCACCAAAGGCAGGAAAATGCAGAGAGACTACAGAGAGAGGGAGAGAGAGATGGTACTGAGAGGCTGGGGGATCAGGAGGGCAGCTGCAGAGGGGCTGCCAGGTGGGGTAGAGGTGGAGGAAAGGGGACAGTTGCTCTGGCCCAAGAAACACTTGCCAGCAAGATGTGTGACGTGACCTTGTGGCATTTGGACAGGACGGGAGGAGGCAGGACTGAAAATGGGCCACAGTCTGGCCTGGGCCTCCTGCTGGCTTCTAGCTGGGCTGGGGATAGAGGGACACGTATGACCCAGCCTCCCCTAGCCAGTGTAAGGGGCAGAGCTCCCTGGGCATGGGCTCAGCTGGTGAGATCTGGGGCTTGGCACTTGCCTGGCTCAGCTGTGTGTCTTCTGAATGACTGCTGGACCTCTCTGGTCTGTGTGCCATCCCACCCTGACACACATGTGTACACACACGCACGCACCCTCCCAGTAGAGTGCCTTGCAGGAGATGCCCCAGGAGAGACCACCAGGTGACACGAGCTGGCTCCACCCTCTGTCTCCCCCTTACAAGCTGTGTGACCCTGGCCACTGCCTTATAACCTCTCTGTATTTCATTCCACCAAGTAAGTATTAATCCAGGGCCTACTGTGTGCTGGGTTTCATCAGCCAGCAGGGCGAATTCCCTTGCCCTGTTGAGAGGGTACTCCCGGCAGACCAGAGAATAAGTACACAGGAAATTATCCAGTGTTCACAGGCAATGCCATGTGGAGAGAGACAAAGAGACGAAATGCAGTGAGAGCATAGCTGGAGCTGCCGCCGCTTGAAGCAGCATGGTCAGGGGGTCAGGGTGGCCAGGGCAGGAGCAAGCTGAGGGAGGGAGTCCTGTGGGTGTGTGGAGAAGAGTTTTCCAGCCCAGGGAACAGCGCATGCAAAGGCCCTGAGCAGGTGGCCGCCTCGCTAGGGAGCCATCTCCCGGGCTGCTGGGAGGAATAAACTGGTTGACAGGCGGCGCTTCCTGCACAAAGGAGACACTCGGGCTGCTGTCACCACCACCAAGATGAGTTTTACTCCCAAGGTCTCAGAGCATCAAGGCCATCGGGGTCCAGGGCATGCGCACAGGGGTCTGAGCTGCCTCTGGGTCTGGGCAACCCCGTCCTGCCTCCCAGCTGAGTTGCCCACATCACATCGTGGCAGCTCCAGCCCATGGGCCCTGCAAGCTGTCTTCCCCCAAGGCCTCCAGCCCTGCCTGCCACACAGCCTCGACATGAACTTTGTCACAAGTGCTGAAATTGGCCTACACACACACACACTCACACACACACACAGTGTATGGGAGTACCTACCACACACATGCACACAAGAACCCGATGCACACATGCACATACTGAGACACATGCAGGTGTGACCATGTGAACACACATGCCCCATGCACTGCACACATGCACACACACCCCAAGCGCACACAACACATGCTGGCAATGCACGTGTGAACGTGCACACGCACACATACACAGTCCTTGTACACGTGGATGCATGATCACAGACATGCTTGCACAACACACAGCACACGTCCATGCATATGGATGCAGGAGCACAAGTATGTGCACACACAGCACAGATCTGCCTGCCTTTTTCCACCATCACTCCCCAGCATTTCCGTTTTCAGAATCTCTGCGCATGGCCACAGTATCCAACCCCGTCTCCCAACCTCCCTCCTCCTGCCCCAGCCCTCTAGATTTCCTACCTGATAATGAATAAAGATACCAGTGCAGTGTCATCAGTAACATCGCTTAGAAACACTTTCACCCCAGTTCTCATTCCTCATGACAGTCAAGGAAAAAGATGTTTTTACTTTTTCCATTTTAAAGATAAGGAGTCTGAGGGGTGGAAGAGCTGATGGGATGGGCCCCTGGGACACTCAGTGCGTGTGAGTCAGGCTAGGATTTGAACCTGACCTGGTCCTATCCTGGGGCACCAGGTCCAGAGCTCCCTCCTCCAGTGATATTCCCGAAGGATAACCCATGGGCCCCTCATACCCAAGTCCCACTCTGACTTCCGGATCTTCCTCCCCAGCCTGTTCCTCCAGCTGCTTCCTCACCTTGGCTGACGTCCTCAGTTCCAGCTCCCCAACCTGGGCCTCCCCAATACCTATGGGGTTTCCCTCTCCTCTCTCCCCAGGACAACTGGGGTGAGGGAGGTTGACAGAGAGAGTGTGGGCTGGGCGGGCCTATGGCCACCACCAGCTGCATCTCAAGTGCCAGGTTGGGCAGCGTGGAGATAGGACAAGCCAGACCTGCAGCCCAGGCTGAGCTCTGGGGAGGAGGCTGACCCAGCAACTGGGAACAGAGCTGTGGGGCCCCTTGGCCTGGACAGGCTGGGACTGAGGGACAGCAAATTGGGGCACATCTGTGTGTGTGAG